TGGACTGGGGGATGGATGACCTAATCAACTCTACCTTATCAGCAAAGTATCTGGTAAAGTTGTTGCAGATGTCAACAGAGGCCTCCATGCTGGCAGACCGAGGCACGTTTAAAATGGAATTTAGGGTATTAAAAAGAACTCGCGATTATGACTGTTTGAAGCAATGATTTGGGAGAAGTATTTGTTCTTTTCAGATTTAACGATGCTCTGATAATCTTTCAAACATGTTTTTAACATAATAAAAGAAACCTGTAATTTGTCCTTTTTCCACTTGCATTCAGCTCTCCTGCATAGACGTTTGGCCGCTCGAGTGGTCGCGTTCAACCAGGGGTGTGTTGCCCGCTTTGGTCGCCTGATTTTTAGCGGGGCCACGAGGTCTAAGATCTTAGAGCAGGTCGCATCATGCCTACTGAGCAGCTCCTGTGTATTAATATAGGCAGAGGTTTCAGGGACTGAAGCAGCATCAGTAAGGAATGCAGAGGGAAAAAGAGCAGCGGTTGAAGAGTTAAATATCCGACAACTCCTGGCTGGAGCGGGGGATTTAGACTCATGAATAACAGAAGTTTGGAATGAAATGGGTTTGTGATCTGAAACAATAGCATCCCCAATTTCCATATTAACCACAGATAAACCGTGAGACAGAACTAAATCAAGTGTATGGCCCTGTTGATGAGTTGGACCAACAACATTTTGCACAAAGTTGAAAGATTGGATCAGATTTAGAAACTCTTGCACCAGAGGCTTGTCAGGACAGCAAACGTGCACATTAAAGTCTTCCAGAATCAAGACCCTGTCCTAATTGACCTTTTTGGAATCCGGTTTGTATTTTACACTAGAAACACCACAAAGCAAGGCAGTAACGTGCAATGTCTGCAGAGCCATAGCACCACATTAAACCGCGGTAAAGTTAGTTTTACGATGGACATTCGAGCTCCGGGACTTCAGCGGTCTGGTAATTTCGTTCAGTCCGGAGAAGGCAGTCTGATTTTGGTCAGTTGCGCTCAGTCTGACCCGCTCAGTCTGACCCGCTCAGTCTGTCCTTCTCTGAGGAGGGGCAGACTGAGCGTGGCTGACCGAGATCAGACTGCTTGCTGCGGATTGAACAAGAAAAACACATCGCTGAAGCCCCGGAGCTCGAATGTTTACTGAGAAGTTGCTAAACTTGATCATAATTAATGACCAACCACTATCGGTTGTAGAAAACGAACGATTTCGCAGCTTGATACTTGCAGCCAAGATATAGTTTACCCTAAAGGAGATATTAATCAGTACAACAATAGACAATTATAAAAAAACATCCTGATGCATGCTCAATAATCCAAGTAGAAAAATCTAAAAAAGTTCAATCTGATCCTCTGGACATTCAAAAAAACGAAACAAAG